GTCAAGAACAATCCGGGTCAATAAACTTACAAGGCACAGGTACAGAATCACAGGAAGCAGGTAAGACCAGAAGGCAGCGAAATGACGCTCAGGGACATTTAAATATCCCGCCCTGCGCTGCCATTGGTGCCCAGCGGGCGGCCGCGGCTTCTACTGCGCATGCGCGAACTCGAACGCCGTGGCCGGCCCGGACCTAGTGCCTGTGTACAGGGCGGAGCAGTGCGCCTGCGCCGGGACCATCGCGGCAGGGATCGAGGGGATCCCTGACAGCACCCCTGTCACCCTGTGCTTACATGCAAATGCAAACATATGCCCTGCATGCATATGTACATGCTGATTGCACCACACTTGTGAGATATCACCATGAATGTCAAAGTGACAGCCATAATTTTAGTAGCATAGCTCAGGGTTACCTCAAAACTGATAACCTGTAAAGTCTTTTAACCACTTGCCTAATGGGCACTTATACTGCCTTTCTGCCCAGGCCAATTTTGAGCCTTCACTGCTGTCGCACTTAGAATGACAGTTGCGAGGTCATGCAACACTGTACCCATATAACATTTTTATACTTTTTTCACACAAATAGAGCTTTCGTTTGATGGTATTTAATCACTGCTGGGTGTTTTATTTATTTATTTTTGCTATAAACAAAAAAATAGAAATTAATTTGAAAAAAAGTTTTTATTTGTTTCTATTATAAAATTTTACAAACTGGTAATTTATCTCCTTCACTGATGTGCTTGATGAGGCTGCACTGATAGGCAGCACTGACGTGGCACGGATAGGCAGCACTGATGGGCACTGATAGGTAGTATTGATAGGCAGCACTACTGTAATGATGCTGCACTGATGGGTGAAACTGCTGGGCAGCACTGATGGGTGGCACTGCAGGGCACAGGTGGGTGGCACTGCTGGGTAGCACTGCAGCGCACAGGTGGGTGGCACTGCAGGGCACAGGTGGGTGGCACTGATGGGTACAAGTGGGCGGCACTGCTGGGCACAGGTTGGTGGCACAGGTGGGCAGCAATGCTGGGCACTGATCATCAGGGCAATGATCATCAGTGCCAATCACTCCTTTAACAATTGCCGGTTATCGTCAGTACTTTCCTCATGCTATGACAGCGTGAGGAAAGTGCAGCCTATAACTGGCAACTGTATTTACCCCCGGTGATCTGCTGTGTCATTGGACACAGCTGATCATGTGGTAAAAGGCCGCTGTGATTGGCCGTTTACCGTATTCCAAGATTAGCTGTTTCCTTAGGATCAGGGGCGGACTGACAACTTATGGGGCCCCCGGGCAATAGGGGATCATAGAGCCCCTGTGTCCTTGCCCAAACTCAAAAAGCCAATGAAAAAAGGTACCAGAAGCATCTCATGGGGCCCCCTACTGACCCAGGCCCTTGGGCAGTGCCCAAGTTTACAAATGGTCAGTCCGCCCTGCTTAGGACACAGCTGTTACCGGCGGCACCGGGTGCGTGCCGCTGGGGTGCGCAGTGGGCGTGTTCTGGAATGACGTCCTTCGGCTATAGTGGTAGAGAAACTGGTTAAAGAGCCGCCCATAAACAATTTTAGGTACTGTAGTTTGTTGCTATTTCATAGGTGAGTGCAATTTTAAACTTTGCTATGTTTGATATCTATTTACTTAACCTCCCTAGCGGTCTGATTATGTCAATATTTATGTGCTCAAAGCGGTACATTTTTTTGCATGGAAATATTTGTTTTTTTTTATTGTAGGCCTCTAATTCTGAGGAATATCTTACTAAAATCTGTCCGAACAAGAGTCTAGTAACATCCCGTGTATGATAAAATTTTGAAACACAAAATCATAAATTATAATATAATAAATAATCATAAAAAATAATGTAATAATAATAAATTTAATTCAATAATATAATCAAACCAAAAACGCTGAAATTTTAAATAGAGTGCCAAGTTTGCACATCACTGAGCTTAGTTGCAAAATCGTTTTCAGTGTCTGATGACGAATTTCCCCACGAATCATTATCACTCAATTCTGCAAGTGGTTCTAATTTACTATCGCTGTTCTCTAGCTGGTCTAAAACCGCTTTTGACCTAAAGGGATGCTTTTTGGACGCCATGGACGTTTCTCAGTTTCCAGGGCAGAAAGAACAGTAAAAATGCAGGCAGGGCACAGGACAAAGCACTAGGGGCAAAATGTATGTGAAATGCTTTGACACAGTAATGTTTTACTATGTTATTTTAATGTATTTAGTGAATGTCACATTTTAACATTTTTTAATTTCCCGCTGGTTCCGTCCTCCATAAACGTCCCGTACATCCCGACGGCTCGCAGGAATGGAAGACGGATGCTGCCATCTAGCTGGAGTGACTAGAGATACGGCATGTGGATGCTGTAGGGGGGACATATGTGGGTGAGCGCAAGGACAAAGGTTACTGTGCTGGAGGAGGTCCCTGAGCAACGCTGCAGGGTAATCCCGTAGTGTAGCTCGGAGTTACCGCTTTTGCTTTTGGTTGCTGAAGTTAACCCCCGAGCTACACTCGGGAATACCGCCAGGGGGGTTAATGCAAAATCATCTTTTATATTGTTGACCAAAAAATTGAGTATTGTTTGCCTGCACTAAAATTCATTTAGGTGTATTTTTTTTCTAAAAATTTGCATTTGATAATAACACCTGTACAAACCTTCCATGCAAAAAAAACAATTTATTCTTTAGGGCCTCTGCTTCCAGATACAAAAATATATATATTTGGGCTCGTTCTAAGTAATTTTCTAGCCCAAAAAAGGGTCTGATAGCCTGATTTAATATGCTACAAGTGAAGAATGAAAAATGTCAAAATTGCCCGTCGCGTCAGCATTAGTTTTACATGGGTATACTGTGCTTTACATATTCTTAACTCTGAACTTTTAGTTACTGTAATGTTGTATGTTACATATTACTGACCCTCTGCATACTATATGTACTAATGTTGTACGTCCATACATAGCTACTGACCACACTGCATTCTGTAAGATGTGCATTGAATTCTCCAGTAAATAGATATTTTCTGCTTTGTTGTACTTTACCCTACTCCTTACCCTAACACCTTATTATTATTTTTATACAGTATTTATATATAGCGCCAACAGTTCGCTCAGCGCTGTATATTTACAATGGAGAGACAATACATGATACAGTACAATAACATAAACATTGCAAATCAAAAAAAAATAATTCAGGGGTTCGAGAGCCCTGCTCCTTGGAGCTTACAATCTAGGAGGGGAGGGTGATAGTGAGTATGGGAGGATTAGCTGTGGGGATGGGAGTGGGTAGGAAGAGTGGAGGAGATCGGCAGTTAGCAGAGGGCAGTGTAGGGCGTTCCCTGAAGAGGTGTGGTTTTCAGGGCGCCTCTAAAGGAGAGAGAGAGCTAGTAGGATCTGATATAGTCGAATGATTGGGGTCTGGAAGTTCCAGAGGAATGGGTGAGGCCATGGGAAGGTCCTGGAGGCGGGCATGCGTAAGTAGGAGACCAGGATGAACTAGCGATTAGGAGGTCTTGTGAAGATGCGGAGTGTGTGTTTTGGGTGGTATTTTTGGATGAATATCAGGCCGGTGATTGTAGTTTGGGGCCAGTGTTATGGACAGAGTTTGTATGTTCAGTGTTAGCCATTTTGAATTTGCCATACCTTTGGGCAATCGGAAGCCAGTGAAGGGGGTAATTGGCAGAGGGGCAGGTGGCGAAAATGGATGCGGTTGTAAGATGAAAGACGTCTGGCCGCAGTATTCAGGATGGACTGAAGTGGGATATCCTGTGGTGAGGTAGGCCAGTGAGGAGGGAGTTGGCGAGTAGTCATAGTCTTGAGTGTGATATGATGAGGGAGTGGGTATCAATGAGCAACTTTGGTTGTATACATTACAAAGCATCCTTAGTTACCTTGGTTCGTACATTACGTTAGTCCCAACTTCCAACACTATATATGCTGTCTGCTGCACAATTCATAGTCCTGATCCCTATATATATATATATATATGATTTATATAACTGTGGGGTATCGCTTCAGAATGGTAGAGCTTTTCTTGTTAAAGCACACAGCAACTCGCTTCTTTCAGGCCTTGTATGCCCAATTTTATTTAACTATGTTGCTCGACTCCGCACATGATAGCCGAAAATGACACGGCTGCAGACTGCAGCCGGCCAGGTTCTGGTGGGCGTCACTATGACGTCCTCCCAGAAACGCGTTCTCCTGCGCGCCCCAGGGGGGCGCGCACCTGCCGTTGATCTCCTGTGATCGCTGTGTCCTACGGACACAGCTGATCACGTGATGTGTGGTAAAAGGCCAATTCACAGCGGCCCATTTTACCACGGTCGTGACAGCACAGTTCGGTGTCTAATGACACGCTGTATCAGAGGGAAACTGCAAGTGCCGGTTCTCGGCTGCACTTTCCTCACGCTGTCCAGATCGCGCAGGAAAGTACCTGCACGAGAACCGGCAGTTGTCAGAGCGGGGATCGGCACCGATCATCAGGGCAACTGATGATCAGTGCCCAAGATTGATTCGGTGCCCAGCAGTGCCACCGCAAGTTCCGCCCACCTGTGCCCAGCAGTGCGCCCACTAGCTCCGCCCACCTGTGCCCAGCAGATCACCCACCTGTGCCAACAGGCAGTGCACCCACCTGTGCCACTCTGCAGTGTCACACAAACTGTGCCCAGACGAAGTTGCACCATACCTGTGCCCAGCAGTGCCACCCCACCTGTACCCACCTACCTGTGCTCCACCAGTGCCACCCACCTGTGCCCTACCCACCAAGTGCTGCCCACCAGTGCCACCCTACCAGTGCAGCCCAGCAGTGCTGCCCAGTCAGTGCCACCAGTCAGTGCCCAGCGGTTGTGCCAGTCAGTGCCGCCAGGTCAGTTGCCCAGCAGTGATGCCAGTCAGTGCGCCGTTCTATCAGTACCCATCATCAGTGTCACCTCACTATCAGTGCCACCTATCAGTGCTGCATATTAGTGCCGCCTATCCGTGACACCTCATTAAGTACTGCTATCTCAGTGCCTTTAAGTGCTGCCATATCAGTGCCCATCAGTGCCGCCTATCAGTGCGACCATCAGTGCTGCCTCATCAACAGACACATCAGTGAAGGATGAGAAAAATTACCTGTTTTGAAAAATTTTTAATAGAAAACAAAGAAACTTTTTTTTCAAATTTTTTGCACACAAAGTTTTTTATATTTTTATAGCACAAAAAGTAAAGCGACCAGTGGCGATTAAATACCACCAAAAGAAAGCTCTATTTGTGAGAGAAAAAATGATCAAGATTTCTCATATGGGTACAATGTTGCATGACTGCGCAATTGTCAATCAAAGTGCTCGGCAGCGGTGAAAAGCTGAAAATTGGCCTGGTAAATAAGGGGGTATAAGTGCCTGGTAGGCAAGTGGTTAAAAGAAAAAAGTTCCAGAGCACAAATGCTTCCCACACAGGGTATCCAACATCAAACCAATTCAGCCTTCTGGCAATTTTAGCTACACAGCTTTATATCTGTCTCCTACAGACTCCTTCCACAAGGTTGTTTTTGCACACAGCAGCAAACCTTTAGCACACAGCTATTCTGGCTACCACCTCTATAGGTGAAGCCCACCTGACTCCACAGCAGAGACCTCCTGTCTGCCCAGGGTGGAGCCCTCCTGACTCACTGTCTGCTGGGATGGAGCCCTTCTGACTCCTATCTGCCGGGGTGGAGCCCTCCTGACTCCTATCTGCCGGGGTGGAGCCCAGAATCATGGCCTGGCCTCCACAAAAAGGCCTGCACACACCTGTGCAATCATCGTGCTGGCTGCTCTCAAAAATATGGGCCCAGGATTGCAGATTTCATCCCTTCCAAATCTCTTAGAAATCTCCAGGCTGCAGGTCCCAAAACAGGCTTTACAAACCAAAGAGGAAACTGATAAAGCCAGTTTCCTCTGTATTATGAGAACTGCCTGGAGCCCCTCAACATGTATGGTTGAGAATCCTGGGTCTCCATCGTGATTTCCACCGTGGCAGGCTACAGGATATATATATATACAATTTTATACATTACATACTCCTGACCTCTGCACTCTGAAGCTGTGGTGTACATTACATACTCTTTACTGAAGTGATCATTGTATCTGCAGTTACTGCTTATTAAACTATTTTATTTACGTTCTTCCTATAGGCAGACTTGGTCTAAGTGCTAGTTGCATATTCTGTGTGAAGAAAAGCATATTTAGAAGGGGCGTTGTTTTTAAAAATATCTTTTGTCATATGGATTGAGTGTATTTTGTCTGACTTGCTTGAAGAACAGTAAGCACAGAGTATTTAGTGGTTACAAGGTTATATATATATATATATGTGCAGTGTACAATGTAGTCACACCCTCTTTTAACATATCAGTTTTTATGCTGAAGTATCTTCCTTTCTCAGTTATTGAAGTTAGGAGTTCTGAACTTCAAAATGAAATATGCAGAATGTTATAAGTTCAGCAGCAGCGGAAAGAAATACCTACTAATAGTATTGCAGAAACAGTCTCCCTCAGGTTCATGCAGTTTGATTCGGTAAGGGAGAAGAGATTTTTCTGTGAAAAAAAGATCATTACGCTTGCTGTAAACAGAATGTGTAACAGCATAAGTTTTTGTCATTTAGCTGTAAATGGCACAGAGTGTACATTAAAATTGTTTTCCAGAGCTGGATGGGCCCTATAATATACCACCATGGGCTTAATCATTGCTTTAGTTGCAACAAAATATTTTGATGGCATTAGGTGTATCAGTGTTCATCTGGACAAAAAGAAAACTGCAATAGAGAATAGTTATAGTGGCATTGACCAGTCAAATTTTGTTTATTTTTGTGTGAAGGGTATTAAATGAAAACTGAAATCTGATTATGTGTTTTTCAATCATTCTTTATTTTCAGATTAAAAATTGACACACATCCATCTAGTTCATGGGTGTCAAACTGGCGGTCCTCCAGCTGCCAAACTACAAGTCCCATGAGGCAATGCAAGATTGATAGTTACAAGCATGACTCCTAAAGGTAGAGGCATGATGGGACTTGTAGTTTCACAACAGCTGGAGGTCCGCCAGTTTGACACCCCTGATCTAGTTCAACCAATAGAATTAATTAAAAAAAAAACGAAATAAATCTAGCACTACCCCCTTAGGAGTTGCTGGATTGTTTGGGTCCCCTATACACCTGCACAGCCAGGCAACACACATATCCACAACGTCTAGCAACCAGAAGTCATAAATCAGTCCTTTAGCTTGTTTTTGATATTTTATTAGGGGGATATCAACTTGGATGGGGAAAGGGGTATATGAGATGCCAAGTGGAACCGATGAATTGAGGACAACTTCCTGGAACTATTTACAAGTCTACTGCAACACAGTCTCTGTTGGAGAGCTAGCCAGCATCTCCCAGTGTACCTCTCCAGACCCCAAATATTCCTCGATCTGGTTGCCTGAAGGAAATTCCTGGACAGGGGATCCAGTCCTGCCACTTTAAGAGAAAAACAGTCCCAGCAGGTTGGTAATCCAGTTTGCCATCAGAGTGCTCCTTCCCCTATCTGGCCCAGGGGGTGTAGATTTGCTCACTTGTCCCTCTCCTGTGCTGCCATTGATTCGGTGGCTGCTACCAGGCCTTCTAGCTGGGTTGCTCCTCCTCTGCTGTTCAAGTAGTCCTCTCTCAGGGGGCCGGTGAGGCTGCTAGCCTAGGCCTGTAGGTGGGCACCTCTACCATCTGGGCCTCCTCCCAGGCTCCTGTACGCCAGCCTAGTTCTCCATCTTCCACCCATGCTCTCCTCCAACTTTTTCCACCTACGGAGCAGGCTCTCTCATATGTAAGGGCTATTCTGACCCCTTACCAAGCCTCCTGTTGGGGATGGGTCAGAGTCCCTTGAATATGCAGATCAGCCACTCCTTACATCTGCCCATTGCTTCTAAAATTATCTCCAGAGTCCCAGCGCAGGGGGAAGTCTCAGAGAGCTGATTCTGCAGAGCCTTCCAGCCCTGACCAAAATTTGACCATTGCACCTGGGCTGCTATCCAGCCCCTAGCTGGATTCTAGTTCCCCCTAGCTACCTAGTAGAGCGCTATGTACAGAACTCTATACTTGCAGCTGATCCAGCAGAAAGCAAAAAAAACCCCTAAACATATAAAGCATGATCTAAAAAACTTTCTGAAACTTTCCTACTTTATTTAGAAATCTATTTCCCTATAAGAGAGATTTATTCTTACTGACCACACACCAAAGTAAATGAGGAGAAATAGTCCAAATTAGCAGAAAGATAACAATAAAATATCATGTTCTTGTTTAAGTTCTGTTTGGAGTTCAAGGTTGTCATTGCTGTCCTATCCTGAAAATGTCAGTTGCCTGATCCAAAAACATTTTACTGTGAGGCACAGTAACATACAGTATGCAGACTAGGAATTCTCACTTTGCTCTGACTTTCTATTCTGTAGGCTGGTTCCAGATCAGTGACTCACACACATTAAAAATCAGAGACCACCAGTCAGCTTATATTCTTAGAAGGAGGTCAGCAATGGCAATCCCCATCTTGCCTTGAGTTTTACAACATACTTCTCCAACCTAAACCCACTTTAGACACAACATTATTGTTTGCTTGAATGTTTGGATGAATAAAAAGATTTGATAATGCAAGTAAAATATTTTATTTCTGCATTGTTATCTGCATACAGCACATTTCCAGTTTGTTATTCCTCTGTAATTTTCATTCTGGATCTGGATTTACAATAATAATTCCTAAAACAGCTCTGCTGAGGCTCGGTGCACAGTGGTAAAAGACTTGCCAGCAAATGCATGCATTACTGTAAATTGTAAAAATACCATTATGTCAAAAAGCTATGGCAAATTCCAGGCTAAATTAGTCATTTAAAATGCAGTACATCCTTACACATTACAGCTTATGAGCACAAAACCACAAAACTGATATTGCATCCCTCTGAGTCTCATTTTAATACGGAAGCAGTGATTCTGCCTAATTGAAGATTTTGTGCATAAGAGCAGGTTTACTGTGACATTAGAGGTTAAATGCATGCTGGTGCATTCCTTAATTTGCCTGTACAGCTTACTAAAGCAGATGTCTCGGGGAAGCTGCTTGTCTTGTAATTACCTTTACAGTATAGAAATGAAAAATCTACACAATTCACATTAAATGTACAGTATTTCATCTCATGAAAATTCTGTCTTTAGGATGTAAAAATATCTCATTTTCAACCTTATTCAATTTCACAGAAAAATTAATCAGGAAAAACTGCAGAATGATACAAAGAAGGCAATCTAAGGATGACGCAATGCCACTTTATGGTATTGACCTGGACCACCATGTAGAATGACATAGCACATGATCACTCCCTAAAGGCTACATTATGTTATTACATCGAAGGATAGTTGATCCAGGGAGTTTCTGATTGCTCTTGGTAATCTGGAAGGATTGTTTTCCCCTGTTAGAGCAAATTGGATCATGTATTTATTTATTACAGGTAGCCAACAATTTTTATGCAGAACTTTACATATACAGTACTGTGCAAATATTTTAGGCAGGTGTGAAGTAAATGAAGAATGCTTTCAGAAATAGAAGTTAATAGTTTACAGAATATTTATTAATTAACAAAATGTGAAAAAAAATAAATGAACAGAAGAGAAATCCAAATCAAATCAATATTAGGTGCGACCACCCTTTGCCTTCAAAACAGAATCAAATCCTCTAGGTACAATTGCACACAGTTTGTGAAGGAACGCGGCAGGGGAGGTTGCTCCAAACATCTTGGAGAATTAACCACAGATCTTCTATGGATGGTGGCTGCCTCAAATCCTTCTGTCTCCTCATGTAAACCCAGAAAGACTCGATGTTGAGATCAGGGCTCTTTGGCGGCCAAACCATCACATCCAGGACTGTTTGTTTTTCCTTATAGTTCTTAATAGTTCTCAGATAGTTCTTAATGACATTGGCTGTATGTTTGGGGTCGTTGTCCTGCTGCAGAATAAATCTGGTGCCAGTCGCACACTTCCCTGATGGTATAATATGATGGATAAGTATCAGTCTGTATTTTTTAGCACTGAGGACACCATT